AGGTACAACCTTCTGTTCTTTGCGTCTGGAGGGGGCAAGTTCAACTACCAGGGGACTAAGCGTTGGTTAGAGGACAACCTGGACCACACAGGTGAGTCCCCGACGGCTGGAGGGTGCCGGGTGATGTACCTGCTGGACCCGCCAGGGTCTCGTCCCAGCCCCTGCGCTCTCCCTAGACTCCAGCTTGCTCCAGGACAATGTGGCCTTCGTCCTCTGCCTGGACACCTTGGGCCGGGGCAGCAGCCTGCACCTGCACGTGTCCAAGCCGCCCCGGGAGGGCACGCTGCAGTACGCCTTCCTGCGGGAGCTCCACGCGGTGGGTGCCCAAGATCAGGGCCCCTGGGGGCTGGTGGGATTTACGGGGAACTGGCCCTTGGCCCCGCCCATCAGGCCCCGCCCCTCTGACCCATCTCCGCCCCCAGGTGACTACGCACCAGTTCCCCGAGGTACGTTTCTCCATGGTGCACAAGAAGATCAACCTGGCGGAGGACACGCTGGCCTGGGAGCACGAGCGCTTTGCCATCCGCCGCCTGCCGGCCTTCACCCTCTCCCACCTGGAGAGTCACCGCGATGGCCAGCGCAGCAGCATCATGGACGTACGGTGAGGTGGGGCCCTCTGCCCTAAGCTCCACTTCCAATCCGCTGGGTGAGGCTCTCGGGACCTGGACGAGGAGAGAACCTGAGCCATTCCGTCCTCCCACAGGTCCCGGGTGGACGCCAAGACGCTGACCCAGAACACCAGGATCGTGGCCGAGGCCCTGACCCGCGTCATCTACAACCTGACTGAGAAGGTGAGGCCTGAGACCACGAGCCTGCCCCCTCCCCACTCCCCAGGGACTGGGCTCACTGCCCCCCCCCTCTCCATAGGGGACCCCTCCGGACATACCGGTCTTCACGGAGCAGATGGTAGGTGGGGAGGGGCCTCGTGGGGTGGGACAGATGAGCTGGAGGCCAATAGGGGGGTGCAGGGGAGGATTTGGGGAGGGGCTGGAGAGGAACAAGCGCCCAGGGCTTGGGAGGGCAGAACAGGCTAGGTGGGAGGTGGGATAGGCTGGGGGGAGATAGGGCTCTGAGGAGGGAGGGTACACCATGGCAGGTGGTGGGTGCTGGACGGAGAGGAGAACCCGTCCAGTTGGGACTGGTCCTCCGAGGGGCACCACCTGGGCACGGGGGACCGTGAAGGAAAGGGTGACCTTGGTCAGCAGGTTGGTGACTTTGGCCAGCCTGGGGGGCTGTCAGCGGGGTGGGGCGGGCGGGCAGTGACCCGCCTTCCCTGCAGCAGATCCAGCAGGAGCAGCTGGCTTCGGTGATGGACTGGCTGGCCCAGCAGCCGAGGGCCGCCCAGCTGGTGGACAAGGACGGCCCCTTCCTGAGCACGCTGGAGCACTGCCTGAGCCGCTACCTGAAGGACGTGAGGCAGCACCACGTCAAGGCAGACAAGCGGTGGGCCTTGTCCCTCCCTGTCCACCCCACCCACCCAGCTCATTACCCCAACTCTGTCTCCCCGCCCTCCCCCAGCCCCCCCATATCGGTCCCTGAGCAGGCAAGTGGGGCGCCTCCCCACAATGAACCTCATCCATCAGAGACATACAGGAAAGGAGGACAGGACAGGCGCGTGACTACACTTTTGTAAACTCAGTCTCCCACACAACGGCAAGGCTGTGCTTAGGCTCCGTAGCCTGACAGTTCTGCCCTGCTCTGCAGGTCACTGTGAGTCGGAACTGACCGGGTGGCAGTGGGGCAGGTTTGGATTTTGCACTACACTTGCTTGTTGTCCCTGAAGTTCACACAAACTGGGCACCCTTCAGTGTGTTTGGTGACCCTCGCCCCACCTCCGACCTCTCAGGACCCGTGTGGCTGGAGAGGTGCTTCCAGGCGTCCACAGGCAGGAAGCACCCCCAGAGCCTCCCACTGCCTCGGCCCCTCCTCCTCTCTCAGTGGTGCTCCCTGCTCTCCTGCAGACAGAGGTCTCAGACGAAAAAGGAGCCCAGGGGTCTGATTCCTAGACTAAGGCCACCCGCCCTCTTAGAGATGCTTCCCTGTCAGGGAGATTTGTCTCGTCCCCGTATTTCACGTGCAGGGACAGTCATGGGGAGGACCTTACTTCAGGGCAGAGGACAGCTGGTCCTCACTCAGCAGGGACTGTCCACACTACCTCAAGACCTGCCGGCAGTGGTCCTATGCTGAGTCCCACATCGGGAGGCCAAGGGACTGGGTACCAGTGCTCAGAACGGGGTGCCCAGGCAGGGCTGGTGTCACCGACACTCCCCCACCACCACCCCTCCCAGTGACGGCACCCTCTCCCCCAGGGATCCGGAGTTTGTCTTCTATGACCAGCTGAAGCAGGTGATGAACGCCTACAGGTGAGTGGTGCTGGTGGGCCAGCCCTGAGCCAGGAGCCTGCCATCCATCCCCATGTGCAAGGACAGAAGGGCCACCCTCACCTGCGAGACCGCGCAGACTGCCGCCTCCACCTCCCGTGTGAGCTGTCCCCACCTCACCGAGCACCTCTGGCGGCAGAAGGGACAGTTACGCTCGGCCCAAGGCAGGGTCAAGGAGCACAGACACCCCCTCCCTGTGGCAGACCCCCAAGAACCCAGCTGCCCACGGTGGGGAAAGTGCTCCTTGCCATGCTGTCTGCCCCCAGCTTTCTGACCTACCCCCTTGCCCCCAGGGTCAAGCCGGCCATCTTTGACCTGCTCCTGGCCGTGTGCATCGGCGCCTACCTCGGAATGGCCTACACAGCCGTGCAGGTGAGCAGTGGTGGGCAGGCGTTGGGGTTGCCTGCCTCACCGGCCCTCTATCCCCCAGCACTTTGACCTCCTGTACAAGACCGTCCAGAGGGTACTCCTGAAGGTCAAGGCACAGTGACCACCCGGCCACCGCACACAGCCCACGTCCTGCCCCAGCCGGCACGGCCCTCACTCAGGGCTGGGGCCGGACTGCAGATGGTCCAGGGCTGAGCTGGGCGGTGGGGAGGGAATCCTCCTGACTGGAACGATTCTTTTCCCTTCTCTCCCTCGGGACTTTCTGGAGGAGAGCCTGGGGAGCCCCCCCGTGGGCAACCAGGGCGGGGCAGTGCCAGCTGCCAGCCCCACCGGCCTCGGTGGCAGCAGCAGCTAGAGCAAGTGCCACCAGGACGCCCACCGCAGCCTGGGGCCTGGCCTGCAAGGTTCTCGCCCTCGGCCGGGCAGCCGGCCACCCTCGTCCTGCCTCCATTCCCTCCCCCGCCCTCCCGTCACAGTCCTGCTGAAGCCGTGGCCTTGCTGCCCCATGCCAGCTGCTCTGGGGCCCAGGCTGGCCAGAGTGACGACAAGCGCTTGGAGGAAGGACGGCCGCTGGCTGGGGACAGTGAGCCCCTGCCCTCGATATTCAGAGGGTGGCCTGCTGGGGGCTGGAGGTGACCTGGGGCCAGGAGGCGCTAGCTGGGCAGGAGTTGACCTCAGGGAGACCCACATGTGTCCATTCGTGAGCAATAGAATTCGTGAAGCTGTCCTGGGGCGCAGGCCCTGACGCCCAGAGAGGTGGCCTGGCTGCCAGTCCTTGTCCTCATGCAGTCCTGGCTGCCCTGGGACTCGTCCTTTCCCCACCCCAATGCTGGAGGTCTCCCAAGTCTCCAACCCTCAGCCCAGCCTGGGGTCACATGGGGTGGGGTGGAGTGGGGGCAGGGGAAGGGTTCTGCCCTCTACTTTCCCTGCCAGCAGGGATGGGGATCACCTGAGCCAGGTCACAGAGCAGCCTCCTAGGCTGAGTGTGGCCCAGGTGGGTGCTGGGCTCGGTGGAGTGGGGTCCTCTGAGCTATTAACACTGAAGTTCCTTCCAGGGGGAGGGGGTCCACGCCAGTGGGGACAGTGGCTGCCCTGGGAAAAATAAAGCCATATTGAACGATTGACCACCAGCGTCTTACCTGGGAACTTGCGGTCCACACCTGGCCTTGGGGGATGGTGCGATGGCTGACCAGCCTTGCCCTGTGCTGAAGTTGAGTGGCGGAGCTGGGCTGGGGTGGGGTGCCTCTGCAGACTGAGACACACATCTGTCTGTCTTGGAGCCAGTGGTCGATCACTGCAGTGTCTCCGTTTCCATCCTAGGGCAACCTGTAGTTCACCCAGACTCAGCAGACCTCAGGGCTGACCACCTGGGGGCTGGGGGGTCAGCGACAGTTGCCACTATGTGCTTCCCTCAGTCCCAGGGTCCCAGGCTGGCATGGGCACACAAACTTGGCTGTGGGGTCCTGAGATACGTGGCGTCCGGAAGGCCATGGCTGCACGTGGACTGGGGCAGGTGGGCACGGCAGTCCTGGAAGGCTTGCTGGCAGAGGGGATTTTGCCACCACTGAACAAAGGCTTTGGCTTTATGCGGTTGCTTTTCGGCTATTCTTAGAGCCCTTTGGGGCTTGTAACAAAACTAATGCAGCAAGTGGAGCTCACACTGACCACCAGTGGCCACCTGAGTGAAGCTCCAGTGACAATGACTGAGCCACTTGTGCTTTCAGGCAGGGGGCGGATGGGCAAAGGCCCTGGGGCAGGAGTGCACCTGGAGAGCTGGAAGTCCGTGTGGCTGGAGCAGAGTGAGTGAGGGGAGGAGGGCAGGGCAGGTGCAGGGCCCTGTGGGTCACTGGGAGCTTTGACCTGAGCTAGGTGGGAGGTTTGAGGAGGGTCACGCCTCCCACCGCCCTGCCTGGTGAACAGTAAGGGTGAGCCGTAGGTGGGTGGGGCTAGCCTGGCTGGCCATTCAGTGCCCTCACAGCCCCAAGGCAGCTGTGGAGATGAAATCACCCCTCCCTACCCGCAGGGTTCCTGAGCCCCACCCACCTGGGCAGCAGCCAGGGGGCACCCATCACACCCTGGGGACCGAAGGAGCCGGTTGGGCCAGTGGCTTTAACCTCTTCCCGGAGACCCCACGGGCGTCAGTGGCGGAATTTTGGAAAGCAGGTTGCCAGACCTTCCTCCCGTGGAGGACACCCCACCCGATCGGGTGGAGGGACCCCTTTGATGACGCCCCAGTGCAGGACGGCCCGGAGGGTTCTTGGGTCCCGGTGCACACGGTGTCGCCACGAGGGGGCGCCGGCGCGCGGCTGGAGCAG